TAGCCTTAAATAATTCTTTAAAGACTAATATCGTTTAAGATAGTAGTTCTAACGAAGACTCCGACGTAGATATAGTTAACGTACTAGGACTTACTAATATATCTCGGGATAGTATTAAGGTAGAACTATTCTATAGGAATAGGGAGAAGCTAGAATACTTCCTTATATAACTTAAGACTACCTTTAAGCTTAATCTAACTAAGTATACTAGGGTAGAAGATAAGATTATATTCGTAGTAATATACCTTAAGGGGGCGGCGTTCTATTAGTTTAAACTAGTATAGGACGACTACCTCGAGTCTTCTAGCTCCGACGACGAAACTAAGGTATACTTTAGGAACTTTACGTAGTTCGAAATAATAATTAAATAGATTTATAGTACGATTAATAAGGCCGTAGTAGCCTCTCGTACTATCTATACCCTTAAATAAATAGGATCTATAGCTAATTATTATTCGGAATTTAAGAAACTAGCGAAGGAACTAGAGTATACGAACGATAATATCTTTAAGGATACGTTCTATAATAGATTAAAGAAGGAAGTTAGGAAGGAAATAATAGAGCGCCTAGAAATCTATAAAGATATAGTAAATAAGGCTATTAAACTTAATAATTAACTATACGAACTACGTATAGAAGATAATTAAGAAAGAAACTTAGGAAAACGAGGGTATCGAGGGTATCGATATTTTCTTCGAGCTAATACGAAACGCCTATAAGACTACGGAGACTCTATAGACCTAGACGCGATAGAACGTTATAATACTCGACGAATAGGCCTAGGTAGATATAAAGGTTTAGCTAGGAATTTAGAGTAATTCGTCTAACTACCGTATAACGAGGATTCTAAAGCTAAGGAGAGAAAAGAAAAGAGAAAATCTATCTACTATACGAATAAAGGAAATACTCCCTAGCCTCTCCTATAGTAGGTTAGTATCGTTTTCTAGAAGATAATTAATAGAGAGTAATTACGTAGCTTCGACTATATAGTTATATAGCCTAAAGATATACTACGAGTAATCGCTTTAGGGCGTACTCTAGAGCTTTATACGGATTTAATTCGTAATATTACTTTCCTTTTCTTCTCGTATAACGCTAAGAAGCCGCTACTCTTAATAGGAACTAGTCGGGCGCCGAGTAGCGTATAAAGTAAAATTCTTATTTCTACTTACTTTTATTCTACTTTTTCTTCTCTTATACTAATTATCGAGGAAGTTTTTATAAGTACTTATTTCTACTTCTATTACGTACGATTATTAGTCGTTACTAATCCTCGAACGCTCGTAGTTAATATAGTAAATAAGTAAGCGAACTAATCTATTTCCTCCTCTTTAATTCGCTCTCTATACTCTAAGCCCTAGGCCTTCCTATTTAGTCGTACGTACTAATAGGAGAACGGAAAAGTTAAGATAATATAGTATTAGTAGTATAGGATATCGCTACGACTTAGCGTTAGTTAGAATAGCTCGCGCTAACTTAAATTTCTATTTTCCTTACCTCCGAGTAATCGCTAGTATCGTACTACTATAATATCTCTTAACGGGCGATCTTAGCTATACTAGGAACTAACGTACCTTTCGTACGAGGAGTAGTTACTCTAGTATAGGTTCGGTCGTACCGACTATCGTATATTAACGCCTTACTTATTTAGAGTCGCGGTATCCTTTTCGGTCCTTATAATCGTTATAAGCGCTTAATACGCCTATTTCTAAAGTATCGACGTATTCTAGGATACTTCGATAGTACGTACGATAACTATAAGTAGTCGGACCGCGATACTCGTTATTCGAAGCGCGATAAAGACGACGATAGTAGTATTATAGTACTATCGTCGAATTCGTTCGATAACGATAGCGCTCCTCCTCCTATCCGTAAGACTTTCTTCTTCCCTCCTCCTCCTTTTCGCTTCGGCGAGGTAGTTATAAAAAGGCCCGCTCCTTAGCGGTAGATATATATAATATTTCTTTTATTCTCTTATCCTCGTATAGTATTTATATTAGTACTAGTATAATTCTAGTAAATAAGAAATATTCTCTATACTTAACTATAGCTTATACCTTAACGTAGCGGTTAGGCTTCGCCGTACGATAACTAAATAAGCTAAATATATATAGTATAATTAGATATTTTATTACTCTTATAGTTCCTTCGTATATACTCTCTCTTTATTTCCGTATAGTAATTAGAGAGCCGATTATCTCGCTATCGATTCGTACGTATCTAAAGCTACGATATTCTAGAGCGATAATTTCGATTCTTAAGTTAGTTCTATATATTTCGTCTATTTTACTAAGTACTATCTTTAATATTAAGACTAAGCGATACCCTATTAACGCCTAGT